CAATCTTTTTATTACGAACACATTCTTTGACCATAGAGATTCACAACTTTACACTTGGTACAAATGGAATGATATCTCCATCAAGAGCCAGATTGACTTTATACTTACCAGAGTTCAAGGAAGAAGGAGAATTCTTGATTCAAGAGCAATCCCTAATGGTCTATGTGACACTGACCATAAAATAGTTGTGTTAACAGCAAAACATCTTACATTAAAGAAACACAGAAAGAAATTAAACAAAAACAAGGATCTCATCAAGATAGCAAATCTGAAACAGGAAGGAGTAAAAGAACAGTTACAACAGAAAGTAGAGACAGCATTCAAACAACTTCCACATGTAGTTGGCAATATTGAGGAAGAATGGAGTATATATAAAAACACTATGCTTAGTATTGCAGAAGAATTATGTGGAAAACGGAAGAGTGGAAACAGACGGGGAAACAACAAATATTCACCTTGGTGGTGCGAAGAAGTAAAAGAAGCAATTAAAAAGAAAAAAGACTTATATAAACAGTGGATAAAATCAAAGAAAGAAGAAGATTATATAAACTATAGACTGCAAAGAAGAGAAACCAACAGGAGTGTCAAGAAAGCAAAACAAGCATCCTGGGAACGTTTCGGTGAGTCACTAGCAGAAAATGAGAAAACAGCCAGCAGAAAATTTTTCAAAGTGGTTAAAAATATGCGGAAAAGAGATGAGAGCTACAACCCCACTGAAATAATTAATGATAAGACAGGAAGACCATTGATAGATCCACCCGAGATAGCAGAAAGATGGAGGGAATACTTCAATGAGCTCTTTAATCCTCTAGGAAATCATCAGGAAAGAACAACTGAAGAGCACAGAGCAACAGTGTTAGAACCACACACACTAATGGATGAAATAGAAAAAGTCATTAAACAGTCTCCCAAATATAAAGCACCAGGAGCTGATAGATTACCAACAGAAATAATTCAAGCAGCAGGTGAAAGCAGCATCAGATGGCTTCACAGAATATTCAATGCTGCATGGGTACAACAAACGGCCCCTATTGATTGGCAACATGCAATAGTTATACCATTGTGGAAGAACAGAGGAAGCAAACGAGAATGCGGTCAATATCGAGGCATCTCTCTTTTAAGCCATGTTGGCAAAATGTATGCCAAGATAATAGAAACAAGACTGAGACCAGTGATAGAACCACAGCTGGCAAAAGAACAGATGGGATTTAGGAGAAATAGAAGCTGCACAGATGCAATCTTCACACTTAAACAGTTAATAGAAAAGAACATTAAATACAATAAGAACTTATTTGTGGCATTCGTAGACCAGGAAAAGGCATTTGACAGAGTCGACAGACAATTATTATGGAAAATAATGGCAAGATATGGAGTAAGCGATCACCTCATCGAAGTGTGCAAAAGTTTATACAGGGATTGTAGAAGTGTAGTTAGAATAAATCAGGGAACATCTCATCCTTTCACAGTGACATCAGGAGTAAGACAGGGGTGTGTCTTATCACCACTGCTGTTTATCACCTACATCGACAGTATATGCAAGAATGCCAAATGAATGAATCAAGAATTACTCTTTGAGCACAAAGAGACATCTTATCAAAGCATATTTATTCCAACTCTGTGCTACCAGTGCCAGACATGGTCACTCACAACAAACCATAAAAGAAAATAGTAACCACGGAAATGAGATGTCTGAGAAGGGCTGTAGGAGTGACCATAAGAGATAAGATCAGGAATGAGATCATAAGAGAACAAGTCGGCACAGAACCAATTCTGGATTACATACAAAGACAGCAAGTGAAATGGTTTGCCCACTTAGAGAGAATGCCTTGTGACACCATACCATTCAAAGCATACATGGAAAGAGAAGAAGGACGTAGAGCACGGGGTAGACCAAGAACAAGATGGAAGGATAACATCAGAGAAACTCTACAACAGCACGATGTGCCTATGGTCGAGGCAGCCAGAAGAGCTAGAAACAGAACCTTATATCTCCCTCGACACCCACAGCGGTAAAAGAGGAAGTGAAGAAGAAGAAGAGATACAATCTGCCATGTATTCCTATGCTCATCATTTTCATCAGGAGACCTTTTCTCCATACTCTGTCATAGGCCTGCTGGAGGTCGACAAAGACTGCCACTGTGTGTTTCTTATTCTGGAAGCCATCATGTATTCTTTGTGTCAGTCTGAACAGCTGGTCTTCTGTGCAGCTGTTGGTTCTGAAGCCTGCCTGTTCATGGCATAGAACACCAGAACTCTCAAGGAACCAATATAAGCGCCTGTTTATCATTCTTTCTGTAACTTTGCCCAAGCATGATGTTAAGGATATCGGGTGGTAGCTTTTGGGGTCATCTGGAGGCTTTTTGGTTTTAAGAATGGGGACGATATATGCATTCCTCCATGCCTTTGGAAGTTTGCTTGACCTCCAAGTTTTATTAATAAGCCTGAGAACTACTTCTCTCCCAGACCGGCCAAGATGTAGCAGCATTTTGTTGTGGATCTTATCTGGGCCTGGGGATTTTCTAGGTTTTAATTTCTTCAGGGCTTGCTCTAATTCATCCATGCTAAATTCATTTTCAAAAAGGGAGTCGCTGGCTGTTGGAGCTCTCTCTTGTTTCGTCAACTGAGAGAACTGTGTTCTATTGAGTTCTGACAGCTTACCTGCTCTGTTAACTGAGGCAAAATAATGATTGAAATGTTCTGCTTTCTTCTTGTCTTCAGTGATTGTCTTACTCCCATCTGTTACTGGTTTTAGGTTCACCCTTCTACTTTCTCCGGAGAGGTTTTTAACTAAAGTCCATGCTTTATTTCCATTCTGTCTAAGGTCTAAGTTGGAGCAAGTTTCTGTCCATTTATCTCTTTTAGCCTTATTAACTACAAGCTTTACTCTGGCACATGCTTTATTGTACTGGATCTTTGCTTCTGTTGAATGTGCAGTTTCGAGCAATATTCTTGCTTTATTCCTTTCAGATATAGTATTTTGAATTTCTTTATTCCAAAAAGGTTTATATGCCTTCCGGCTGTCCCTTGGAATGGCTTTCGACGCTGCAATCAGGATTGCTTGTGTTATGTCTTCACAAAAAGTTTCCACACAGCTGTTGTCAATTCTTCCCAGGAGGCAGTCAGATGTTTCCTGAAATAGTTTCCAGTTTGCTTTTCGGAAATTCCAACGGGTTCTCTGCTTGAAGCGTAATTTAGCGGTGGTGCTTACAGTTGTGAGTATAGGTTTGTGGTCACTTCCTATGTCGTCCAGGACTAGGGGATAGCTTGCGTCTGCTAAGTCGGATGAGCAGATGGTCAGGTTTGGTCGGCTGAGACATAGGTGGGCCCTGTGTAACAGTGTAGGTGTAGACTCTGTGTCCTGTAGCACTAATAGGTTAGTTGTTTCACAAGTATCTTCGATGTATTTCCCTGTGCTATTGTAGTCAGGGTGTAGAACTGACAACTAAGCTTTGGGGAAACCTAAGAGACCTTGAAAAGACATCTCAGTTTATGACCCACAGTGGATTATGCGCATGACCAGAGATCACTGAAGAAGTAGTCAGTGGGGCTGTACACGTTGTATATCGTATATTTGCTTCGTGCCAGATAGTGGGCTGTCTGTGTTCTCTTTGCTCTCCTCTCCACTCTTCCTCCTCCTGGGGTGTCTGATTTTCCTATTTATTTCAAATTTTCCAGTAGCCAATTTTTCGCACATGACAGCCTGGTTTCCCACTGTCTGGCGCGGGCCTTGATAGACGAGGCGACGACCGATCTCGTATGTATTCTTAAATTTTGACATATTCATGGCATTGTGGTGCTGGGGTGTCTGTGGATTACCTACCTGCCCGGGCAGCAGCTAGAAATGCCCTGTACCAGTTCTAAAGGAAATATGGGTTGTGTTTCTGCCTTCCCCTTTAACACGTAGCTAAGCTGGGGCTCACAGTGTGCTCATTCCCCGCCACCAGATTGCCTGCAGGTTTCGCTGAGCTCTTCATGGCTCTAAGCATGGCCTAAGCCTGAGTAGTTGGGGCAACTGGATCGTCACGTCCTGAGTCCCTGTGCCTTCACGATAGTTTCCGATATTCAGGGGGGTTAGCATAATTGTTTCCATTCCTAAGACTGTTCAGCACACCTTTGGCTCCTTCCCTCCACAGGGGGCAGTACGGTGTGGTGCACCGGGTTTATTATCGAGGTTTGCTCCTCTAGATCCATTGTGTTTTGCCTGGGGATTCGCACCCCCAGTTACCAGGACTACCTCGGGGAGGCTGTGACTCTTCGCCACGCACAATGGTCTTGAGGTAAGAGAGGTTTTGCTAGGTCAAGAGGCTGACACCACAATGGACGCTCCTTTCGTGAACAGATATTCACTAGACCTAGGGTGAAGTAAGGGGGGGGGGGGGAACCCACTACCCACAACACCAACACTTCTTACCCCCTGCCTCTCGAGGCTCAGTCTGTAACATTGGCTTATTGCACTAGTTCTCTGGGACTGTCTTGTCTGTAACATTGGCTTATTGCACTAGTTCTTTGGGACTGTCTTGTCTGTAACATTGGCTTATTGCACTATGTTATATATTCAGTTAGTTGTATTCTGTCCTATCCTTTTTTAACAGGGTCTTTTTTCAGGATGCTGGGGTGAGGGGGGGGGGTGTTGTAAAAGACCTATCTCCCCTTTACAAGCATGTCAATAAATATGACTAACTGAAGTTTTGTTGAAGTCTATGTGCTCCACCAACAGGCACAGATATCACAGGTTAACCATAGTATGGCAGCTGCTCTTTTAGAGAAGAATAAGAGAACTGTCTGTATTGACAACTTTTAAGGTGGTCTTTTTGTTTTTACATAGTTTTATTCATTGCCATTATATAATTCCCCAATTTTTCACAAGTGGAATACATTATTGACTAAGGTCTGTGATTTCTGTTCACCTCGTCCTTATATGTATACATGACTACTCAGTGAAGCCTTTTTATTCTTGTTATAAGCATGCAAAGATGAGACTTGTTTTTATGCTTCACCAGCCAAGCAAAATAAAGATAAAATGGCTAACCAGAGGCAGCAGTCTTCAACAACGTGACCTTAGGTTTTGGTGTCAGGATCAGGCATTGAGATGTTTCTCCACATCAGCCGAATCATCGTCATCCACAGCTGCCAGAGACTCCACATCACCACCTGCATCAGCACCACCTGCAGCAGTGCCACCAGCAGACACACAGAAGCACACTCCCAATGATGGAACAGATCAGAGGTAGGGGAGAATGTTCATGAAAATATAATGGTCTGTATATAGCATTCTAACAAAATGTATCCTTTTTGTTATGGAAGCCACCTTGGCTTCCATCTTCTAAACCCCCTCACCCTCCCCATCTAATGGTGCATACAAGTGTTTTTCATCTCTTGTTGTTTCATTTAGTGCTACATGTAAGTGTTCATTGTTCCATGTTCTGTTGTTCCATGTGGTGCTACTTGCAAGTGTTCATTGTTCCATGTTCTGTTATTCCATGTGGTGCTACTTACAAGTATTGATTGTTCCAAGTAGTGATCTCTGCAAATGTTCATCGGCTCTTGCATGTTTCCATAAGTAGTTTTCCTCTCACAAGATTCAGATGGAAGTAACCTTGTCCCAGTGTGTGTAGGAACTGGAGACACAAACATCTGATGTCTGACATGACAGTCTTGTCAAGATCCCTGACAACAGACACTTTAGAGCGAGCTGTCATTGGAATATGTTCCGGAACATGTTCGGAACATGTTGAGTCATATGTGTTCTCTCTGAAGTTTCAACATCATGTTCTTGTTGTTTATGATCAGTTGTTGAAATTCCCTGGTGGGTTTCTGGAACCCAATTTTGGGGGGGATTGGTGGGGGGGGGGGGGGGGTGTCTAAAAGGTGACTAATCCTTCTTCTTCTGCTTTTCTATCCCTCAATGGAGCATAGGCCCTCAACCAACTCACGCCAAGTCGTTCTATCCTTCGTCATTGCATGGAGCTCTCCCCATATCCTCCCCATCTTTCTAACCTCATTCTCCAGCTCTCTTCTCCATGTGTTTTTTGGCCTTCCTTTATTCCTATGCCCCTGTGGTTTCCAATGCAAATACATTCTATTTATGCTGTTCTCCTGTTTTGTCAGTGTGTGTACTATCCAACGCCAGCGTCTTTTCCTCATTTCTTGGTCCACTGGAGCCTGTTTAGTTCTCTCCCAAAGTTCTACATTAGTTATTCTATCATACCATTTAATTCCCTCTATTATGCGCAGGCACCAGTTAATGAATGTCTGTAATTTATTAGTAATTGCCTTGGTTGTTCTCCATGTTTCTGCCCCACACAATAGTACTGATTTGACATTAGAATTAAACATTTTTAGTTTAGTATTTCTTTTAATTTCTTTTGACCTCCACAAAATCCCTAGTGCTATGAAAGCCCCTCTTGCCTTTTGTATTCTTATTTAGTTCCTCCATCTTTATCTACAGTGACTAATTAGGGGTTTCCTAAATTGGATGTGTTGGACCATGAGATGCAGATATCTCAGTTCTAAAGGTGACTTTCTGTTATTGTAGGGAAAGCTACATCCCTCTGACACGACAGTCCCTGGTTCGTTACCTCATTGAAGACAAGGAGATTTTGACAAAGGATGAGAAGAAGCTATTTTCTGACTTTGTTCGAGCTCTGGACATTGTGCTCGCCAACAAGTATCATGGAGTTCTGGAAGATCTCAAGGTGACTTTGTATTTATCGTCAAGATTTCTCTGTCTCTGTCTCTGCCTCTCTCTCTCTCTCTCTCTTTCTCTCTCTCTGTCTCTCTCTTTCTCTGTCTGTCTGTCTGTTTGTCTGTCTGTTTGTCTGCCTGCCTGCCTGCCTGCCTGCCTGCCTGCCTGCCTGCCTGCCTGTCTGTCTGTCTGTCTGTCTGTCTGTCTGTCTGTCTGTCTGTCTGTCTGTCTGTCTGTCTGTCTGTCTGTCTGTCTGTCTGTCTGTCTGTCTGTCTGTCTGTCTGTCTCAATATCTCTCTCTCTCTCCATTACAAGCACTATGTTTGTGCATCTAATGCTTGGCTGTGCCGATCTTTACTCTCACATTTTTGGCAGTGATGTTGACACATTTTTGCTGAAATCCTCCAATCTTCATATCTTTTTAAGCGTATTAACAATGTTGGTGTGATCCAGTGGACGGCCATCTGCAGATAAGGGAGAGCAGGCTAGTTTCTGAGTGTTTTATATTTCTCTCTTCCTCTACCCATCCATCTGTCCATACTCCCCACCACCCCTTTCCACTATGTATCTTATCTGTGTTAGTATGCTTGTCAGCCTCTGTCTGTCTGCCTATGTGTTTGTATGTCTGTAATATCTGAATCTTAAATCATAATTAAAAATTACATCATGTCTTTGTGAAAAAAAATTGGGGGTTGAAGGGGGGGGGGGGGGGGGGGGGGGGGGGATTTTAAAGAGAGAAAAAAAGAGCTTATCAAGTATTGTTCAGTCTGTGAACAGTTTGTAAAGTCTGACTGTTGTTTGTTTGCTAATTGTTAATTTGTCCTTCAAGAGAATCAAAGATAACACCACACATCCACACACCTCACATACACAGAGCCACACCCTACAAGGACACCGACCCACACACACGTAGATTATGTGATATGTAACAGATAGCTTTGTGCTGGACGGATAACACCACACATCCACACACCTCACATACACAGAGCCACACCACACACAAACGTAGATTATGTGATATGTAACAGATCGCTTTGTGCTGCACAGATACTCTTTGACCCCTGCAACCCAGATAAGGAAACTCTCAAGTCAAGAGAACTCTCCAGAAAAGAGAAACTAGACAATGAGTTCACTCTCCTGCAGCTGTTGGATGATGTTCTGGCCAGGGCCAGTTTCCGTGACCTGCCGTCAAAAACGCTCGACCAGTTATTGAGAACTCATGAAACCAGAGGACAAGTTCGGGTGAGATTTAGTCTGTTTCTCTTATTTCAGAATTGGGAGCCTGGTTTATTCAGGGCCAGTGAAGGTTAACAGTAGGTGGAATGTTTTTTTTTTTTTCAAATAACCACAGGGAACCTGTCAGTAGAGTGACAAACTGAGGTCAGTGTTTTCCCAGATATGTTATAGGGAACCTGTCTAGAGGTCAGTGTTTTCCCAGATATGTTATAGGGAACCTGTCTAGAGGTCAGTGTTTTGTCAGATATGTTAAAGGGAATCTGTCTAGAAGTCAGTGTTTCATCAGATATGTTATAGGGAACCTGTCTAGAGGTAGGTGTTTTGTCAGATATGTTATAGGGAACCTGTCTAGAGGTCAGTGTTTCATCAGATATGTTATAGGGAACCTGTTTAGCGGTCAGTGTTTTGTCAGATATGTTATAGGGAACCTGTCTAGAGGTCAGTGTTTCATCAGATATGTTATAGGGAACCTGTCTAGAGGTCAGTGTTTCATCAGATATGTTATAGGGAACCTGTTTAGCGGTCAGTGTTTTGTCAGATATGTTATAGGGAACCTGTCTAGAGGTCAGTGTTTTCCCAGATATGTTATAGGGAACCTGTCTAGAGGTCAGTGTTTTCCCAGATATGTTATAGGGAACCTGTCTAGAGGTCAGTGTTTTGTCAGATATGTTATAGGGAACCTGTCTAGAGGCCAGTGTTTTGTCAGAGTAGGTAGTAGGGATCCTACATATACTGTAGCAGATTAGAGTCAGTTAATGGTCAGTGATAGTGACATCAAATGTTGACGGACAGGTAATTCAGGATACACGAGAAGTCAAGCCTGGGATCATCATTTGGCCACTTGTTCACATAATATCCACTCATTGTCCACCAAGGATGATGCTGTTGCCAGGACAGAATGCTGAAACTTAGTTTTAAAACATGTGACCAGTTTTGGGGGATTCACAAAATACAAGGACAAGTTTAAGTCTAGATACTTTAGTCAAATTTTTTAAATGCCTTCTACACCAATAAAACCAGCACAGTTAGATAGCTGTAAACAATCTCTTTCCAACGGTACCTCATTTAGGCTTGTATGTCATTTCTGAGCTGAGATATGTAGGTTTTTGTGGAGTTGAGATGTAAAAAACAGCTGCTAAAACTTGCGTCCCAGAAACAAGAAGTTTTCTCTGTGCAACCAAACTGCGCACTTCCGTTTTGGCTTTGTTTACATTGGACAAGATGGCAGACAATTTTTCTCAGACACAGCCACATAATAGTAATTGCCTGAAAAATGTCACTGTAAATGGAATTAGCCATACAAAAGAAAGAAATTTTATATACAAATGTAAAATTGGACGGAGAATTCAATTATAACTAGCATTACCATGTCAAGTAATGTTAAAGCCTAAAGCCAACCTTGAATACTTACCACTATTTTCAATCAAACTGATGTAACAGAAAAACAGAGGACGTCCGGCTGTCGTAGACATGCGCTGTTAATCGGGTTCGTTCCCGCCGTTTTCAGCTATTTATAGCTGGTGAAAATCACACCAATTTCATGAGAGATTAGGACCCATCCCGAAACCCCAGCCGACATTTCCCAAACAAGTTTTGAACGGTTTCCGTGGTAACGGAAATTGCCAAAAAGACCGCAAATTTCCGAACACCGTAGTCGCTAGTTTAAGTCAGTATTTAGTTAGCGTTGTCTGAAGTAAGGGTAATTATTTAGTTAGCGTTGTCTGAAGTAAGGGTAATTATTTAGTTAGCGTTGTCTGAAGTAAGGGTAATTATTTAGTTAGCGTTGTCTGAAGTTAGGGTAATTGTTTAGTTAGCATTGTCTGAAGTTGAGGTCAAATCAAATTTGGATGTAGACTTCCATAACATTTTTGTTTTTATTTAAAAATTCTTCATAGGTCAGTGTAGATCCAAACCGCTATGATGTTCTTCGCTTTTGGGCTCTCGGTCATGAAGTACCGAAAGTCCAGCTATCATTTTTAGAAAGGAGTCTACAACGTTTACTGCGCAGATCCTCAAAGAAGCCTGTAGAATATTACAAGAGAGTTGTGGTAGCTCTTCGGCTGAAGATGGACACCAAGCTGATACTCAAAGCGTTTAAAGAGGTTTGATTCTCTGTTAGTGAACATCTTTTCACATGTTTCTATTCTTTCTGCTTTTGCTTCTGCTTATATAACCTTACAGTTGTTGAGCTACTGAGTGTCAGGGTCTGTCTCAAACCTAAGCCCAACTTGTTTCCACCTCAGAATAAATACTTGCTAATAACAAAACACACCTGTGTGTCACTGGGGCCCTGATAGGAAGCAATCGTGTGTCACTGGGGCCCTGATAGGAAGCAATTGTGTGTCACTGGGGCCCTGATAGGAAGCAATTGTGTGTCACTGGGGCCCTGATAGGAAGCAATCGTGTGTCACTGGGGCCCTGATAGGAAGCAATCGTGTGTCACTGGGGCCCTGATAGGAAGCAATCGTGTGTCACTGGGGCCCTGATAGGAAGCAATCGTGTGTCACTGGGGCCCTGATAGGAAGCAATCGTGTGTCACTGGGGCCCTGATAGGAAGCAATCGTGTGTCACTGGGGCCCTGATAGGAAGCAATCGTGTGTCACTGGGGCCCTGATAGGAAGCAATCGTGTGTCACTGGGGCCCTGATAGGAAGCAATCGTGTGTCACTGGGGCCCTGATAGGAAGCAATCGTGTGTCACTGGGGCCCTGATAGGAAGCAATTGGGGTTGGCTAGCTCATCCTGTAAAAACAATACCCACAAACACTAACCAACCATGGATAAGTCAAAAAGAAAAGCAAGTAAAATCCAGCCAACCAAGAGGAGGGAAGGCTCTTCAAGTAGAAGCCTGACACAGTGTGGAGAAAGCCGAAAGGAGTCAGGATCGTTGACATACCTCCTCTCAGCTAGGAAAACCTCCAGAATTGGCACCTGGAATGTTAGAACTCTCTATGATATAGGAAGAACAATGGAAGTAGTAAGGGAAATGAAACACTATGGATAAAGGAAGGCTAAAAAACACATGGAGAAGAGAGCTGGAGAATGAAAGAAAGATAGGGAGGAGATGGGAAGAGCTCCATGTAATAGCGAAGTATAGAACGACTTAGCGTGAGTTGGTTGAGGGCTTTGCTCCATTGGGGGATAGAAAGGCAGAAGAAAAAAGAAGAATAACAAAACACATAGATATGAGACATCGACTGTCTCACAATATTTAAGGAAGAAAGTCAGGATTTTGAGCTGAAATACTGAAGAAAGATTCTTAGAATACCATGGCCAAGAAGACAACAAATACTGACATCATAAAACTGAATACTGAGATAATTGGTTTGTAAACAGAAACTTGTCTTGGAAACTGAAATGACTGTATCAGACTTTGCAGTGGCTTGATAAAAACAATAATGTGGGGGGGGGGGGAGGTGGGGGGGGGGAGGGGGTCATGATACCAGGTAAGTGAGGTAGGGGCTGACCAGCATGAAGGTGAGCAAAGGACATGACAAGATACCTGGGCAGAGAGCTGGTAAGGGACACATTTGTTTCAGGCGGGCGGTGATGGGACATTATCTCATGATCTACTTCTTGATGATGATGATGGTTATTGTGCTGTGGATAATTCCTAATTAATAATTTTTATAGTTTTGCAAATCAGTGATTTCTATGACCCAACTGTGAAGAAAATGTTTACTTACACGCACTAGCCGGTTTCACTTTTGGCTGAAAAGGCTGGACAAATGTTTCACTTTTGGCTGACAAAGCTGGACAAATGTTTCACACTCCTCTGATGAGACTAGACAAATATTTCAAACTTGTCTGAAAAGACTTGATAAATTTTTCACTCTTGTCTGATGAGACCAGACAAATGTTTCACTGTTGTCTGATGAGACTAGACAAATGTTTCACTCTTGTCTGATAAGACTAGATCAATGTTTCATTCTTGACTGATGAGACTAGATAAATGTTTCAGTGTTGTCTGATGAGACTAGATAAACGTTTCACTCTTGTCTGATGAGACTAGATAAATGTTTCACTCTTGTCTGATGAGACTAGATCAATGTTTCACTGTTGTCTGATGAGACTAGATAAATGTTTCACTGTTGTCTGATGAGACTAGATCAATGTTTCACTCTTGTCTGATGAGACCAGATCAATGTTTCACATTTGTCTGATGAGACTAGATAAATGTTTCACTGTTGTCTGATGAGACTAAATAAATGTTTCACATTTGTCTGATGAGACTAGATAAATGTTTCATTGTTGTCTGATGAGACTAGATCAATATTTCACACTTCTCTGACAAGGCTAGACAAACGTTTCACTCTTGGCTAGCAAGACTAGATAAATGTTTCACTGTTGTCTGATGAGACTAGATAAATGTTTCACATTTGTCTGATGAGAATAGATAAATGTTTCACTGTTGTCTGATGAGACTAGATAAATGTTTCACTGTTGACTGATGAGACTAGATAAATATTTCACACTTCTCTGACAAGGCTAGACAAACGTTTCACTCTTGGCTGATGAGACCAGATCAATATTTCACCCCTGTCTGATGAGACTAGATCAGTGTTTCACATTTGTCTGATGAGACTAGATAAATGTTTCACTCTTGGCTGATGAGACTAGATAAATGTTTCAGTGTTGTCTGATAAGACTAGATAAATATTTCAGTGTTGTCTGATAAGACTAGATAAATGTTTCACTCTTGTCTGATGAGACTAGATAAATGTTTCACATTTGTCTGATGAGACTAGATAAATGTTTCACTCTTGTCTAATGAGACTAGATAAATGTTTCAGTGTTGTCTGATGAGACTAGATAAATGTTTGACTGTAGTCTGATGAGACTAGATAAATGTTTCACTGTTGTCTGATGAGACTAGATAAATGTTTCACTCTTGTCTGATGAGACCAGATCAATGTTTTACATTTGTCTGATGAGACTAGATAAATTTTTCATTGTTGTCTGATGAGACTAGATCAATATTTCACACTTCTCTGACAAGGCTAGACAAACGTTTCACTCTTGGCTAGCAAGACTAGATAAATGTTTCACTGTTGTCTGATGAGACTAGATAAATGTTTCACATTTGTCTGATGAGAATAGATAAATGTTTCACTGTTGTCTGATGAGACTAGATAAATGTTTCATTGTTGACTGAGGAGACTAGATCAATATTTCACACTTCTCTGACAAGGCTAGACAAACGTTTCACTCTTGGCTAGCAAGACTAGATAAATGTTTCACTGTTGTCTGATGAGACTAGATAAATGTTTCACATTTGTCTGATGAGAATAGATAAATGTTTCACTGTTGTCCGATGAGACTAGATGAATGTTTCAGTGTTGTCTGATGAGACTAGAAAAATATTTCACATTTGTCTGATGAGACTAGAAAAATATTTCACATTTGTCTGATGAGACTAGATAAATGTTTCACATTTGTCTGATGAGACTAGATAAATGTTTTACTGTTGTCTGATGAGACTAGATAAATGTTTCAGTGTTGTCTGATGAGACTAGATAAATGTTTCACTGTTGTCTGATGAGACTAGATAAATGTTTCAGTGTTGTCTGATGAGACTAGATAAATGTTTCACTCTTGTCTGATGAGACCAGACAAATGTTTCACTGTTGTCTGATGAGACTAGACAAATGTTTCACTCTTGTCTGATAAGACTAGATCAATGTTTCATTCTTGACTGATGAGACTAGATAAATGTTTCAGTGTTGTCTGATGAGACTAGATAAATGTTTCACTCTTGTCTGATGAGACTAGATCAATGTTTCAATGTTGTCTGATGAGACTAGATCAAGGTTTCACTGTTGTTTGATGAGACTAGATCAATGTTTCACTGTTGTCTGATGAGACTAGATAAATGTTTCACTGTTGTCTGATGAGACTAGATAAATGTTTCACTCTTGTCTGATGAGACCAGATCAATGTTTCACATTTGTCTGATGAGACTAGAAAAATATTTAACATTTGTCTGATGAGACTAGATAAATGTTTCACATTTGTCTGATGAGACTAGATAAATGTTTTACTGTTGTCTGATGAGACTAGATAAATGTTTCAGTGTTGTCTGATGAGACTAGATAAATGTTTCACTCTTGTCTGATGAGACCAGACAAATGTTTCACTGTTGTCTGATGAGACTAGACAAATGTTTCACTCTTGTCTGATAAGACTAGATCAATGTTTCATTCTTGACTGATGAGACTAGATAAATGTTTCAGTGTTGTCTGATGAGACTAGATAAACGTTTCACTCTTGTCTGATGAGACTAAATAAATGTTTCACTCTTGTCTGATGAGACTAGATCAATGTTTCAATGTTGTCTGATGAGACTAGATCAAGGTTTCACTGTTGTTTGATGAGACTAGATCAATGTTTCACTGTTGTCTGATGAGACTAGATAAATGTTTCACTGTTGTCTGATGAGACTAGATAAATGTTTCACATTTGTCTGATGAGAATAGATAAATGTTTCACTGTTGTCTGATGAGACTAGATAAATGTTTCACTGTTGACTGATGAGACTAGATAAATATTTCACACTTCTCTGACAAGGCTAGACAAACGTTTCACTCTTGGCTGATGAGACCAGATCAATATTTCACCCCTGTCTGATGAGACTAGATCAGTGTTTCACATTTGTCTGATGAGACTAGATAAATGTTTCACTCTTGGCTGATGAGACTAGATAAATGTTTCAGTGTTGTCTGATAAGACTAGATAAATATTTCAGTGTTGTCTGATAAGACTAGATAAATGTTTCACTCTTGTCTGATGAGACTAGATAAATGTTTCACATTTGTCTGATGAGACTAGATAAATGTTTCACTCTTGTCTAATGAGACTAGATAAATGTTTCAGTGTTGTCTGATGAGACTAGATAAATGTTTGACTGTAGTCTGATGAGACTAGATAAATGTTTCACTGTTGTCTGATGAGACTAGATAAATGTTTCACTGTTGTCTGATGAGACTAGATAAATGTTTCACTGTTGTCTGATGAGACTAGATAAATGTTTCACTGTTTTCTGATGAGACTAGATAAATGTTTCACTCTTGTCTGATGAGACTAGATAAATGTTTCACATTTGTCTGATGAGACTAGATAAATGTTTCAGTGTTGTCTGATGAGACTAGATGAATGTTTCACTCTTGTCTGATGAGACTAGACAAATGTTTCACTCTTGTCTGATAAGACTAGATCAATGTTTCATTCTTGACTGATGAGACTAGATCAATATTTCACACTCCTCTGACAAGGCTAGACAAATGTTTCACTCTTGGCTAGCAAGACTAGATAAATGTTTCACTGTTGTCTGATGAGACTAGATAAATGTTTCACATTTGTCTGATGAGAATAGATAAATGTTTCACTGTTGTCTGATGAGACTAGATAAATGTTTCACTGTTGACTGATGAGACTAGATAAATATTTCACACTTCTCTGACAAGGCTAGACAAACGTTTCACTCTTGGCTGATGAGACCAGATCAATATTTCACCCCTGTCTGATGAGACTAGATCAGTGTTTCACATTTGTCTGATGAGACTAGATAAATGTTTCACTCTTGGCTGATGAGACTAGATAAATGTTTCAGTGTTGTCTGATAAGACTAGATAAATATTTCAGTGTTGTCTGATAAGACTAGATAAATGTTTCACTCTTGTCTGATGAGACTAGATAAATGTTTCACATTTGTCTGATGAGACTAGATAAATGTTTCACTCTTGTCTAATGAGACTAGATAAATGTTTCAGTGTTGTCTGATGAGACTAGATAAATGTTTGACTGTAGTCTGATGAGACTAGATAAATGTTTCACTGTTGTCTGATGAGACTAGATAAATGTTTCACTGTTGTCTGATGAGACTAGATAAATGTTTCACTGTTGTCTGATGAGACTAGATAAATGTTTCACTGTTTTCTGATGAGACTAGATAAATGTTTCACTCTTGTCTGATGAGACTAGATAAATGTTTCACATTTGTCTGATGAGACTAGATAAATGTTTCAGTGTTGTCTGATGAGACTAGATGAATGTTTCACTCTTGTCTGATGAGACTAGACAAATGTTTCACTCTTGTCTGATAAGACTAGATCAATGTTTCATTCTTGACTGATGAGACTAGATCAATATTTCACACTCCTCTGACAAGGCTAGACAAATGTTTCACTCTTGGCTAGCAAGACTAGATAAATGTTTCACATTTGTCTGATGAGACTAGATACATGTTTCAGTGTTGTCTGATGAGACTAGATAAATGTTTCAGTGTTGTCTGATGAAACTAGATAAATGTTTCAGTGTTGTCTGATGAGACTAGATAAATGTTTAACTGTTGTCTGATGAGACTAGAAAAATATTTCACATTTGTCTGATGAGACTAGATAAATGTTTCACATTTGTCTGATGAGACTAGATAAATGTTTTACTGTTGTCTGATGAGACTAGATAAATGTTTCAGTGTTGTCTGATGAGACTAGATAAAGGTTTCACTGTTGTCTGATGAGACTAAAATGTTTCACTGTTGTCTGATGAGACTAGATCAATGTTTCACTGTTGTCTGATGAGACTAGATAAATGTTTCACTGTTGTCTGATGAGACTAGATAACTGTTTCAGTGTTGTCTGACGAGACTAGAAAAATATTTCACATTTGTCTGATGAGACTAGAAAAATATTTCACATTTGTCTGATGAGACTAGATAAATGTTTCACATTTGTCTGATGAGACTAGATAAATGTTTTACTGTTGTCTGATGAGACTAGATAAATGTTTCAGTGTTGTCTGATGAGACTAGATAAATGTTTCACTGTTGTCTGATGAGACTGAGACTAGATCAATGTTTCACTGTTGTCTGATGAGACTAGATAAATGTTTCACTGTTGTCTGATGAGACTAGATAACTGTTTCAGTGTTGTCTGATGAGACTAGAAAAATATTTCACATTTGTCTGATGAGACTAGATAAATGTTTCACTCCTGTCTGATGAGACTAGATCAATGTTTCACTCTTGTCTGATGAGACTAGATAAATGTTTCACTCTTGTCTGATGAGACTAGATAAATGTTTCAATGTTGTCTGATGAGACTAGATAAATGTTTCACTGTTGTCTGATGAGACTAGATAAATGTTTCACTGTTGTCTGATGAGACTAGATAAATGTTTCACTGTTGTCTGATGAGACTAGATAAATGTTTCACTGTTGTCTGATGAGACTAGATAAATGTTTCAATGTTGTCTAATGAGACTAGATAAATGTTTCACTGTTGTCTGATGAGACTAGATCAATGTTTCACTGTTGTCTGATGAGACTAGATAAATGTTTCACTGTTGGCTGATGAGACTAGATAAATGTTTCACTGTTGGCTGATGAGACTAGATCAATGTTTCAGTGTTGTCTGATGAGACTAGATAAATGTTTCACTGTTGGCTGATGAGACTAGATCAATGTTTCAGTGTTGTCTGATGAGACTAGATCAATGTTTCAGTGTTGTCTGATGAGACTAGATCAATGTTTCACTCTTGTTTGATGAGACTAGATTAATGTTTCACTGTTGTCTGATGAGACTAGATAAATGTTTTAGTGTTGTCTGATGAAACTAGATCAATGTTTCACTCTTGTCTGATGAGACTAGATAAATGTTTTAGTTGTCTGACAAGACCAGACAAATGTTTGCCAAGTCAGAGATCATGATAGGGGTGTAAGACTCAGTAATTGGTCATCTGGTTTCAAAATTCAAAGCCAAGTTCTAAGTTAGAGTTATTTCCCTAAACCACCTCAGTTGGCAGTAATGATAATGAAGAGATTAATCAACCGATGTCATGACCTCATGAATCTTGACAGTCAGCTCCCTATGTGGTTCAGGAGTCTCACATCTACCTGACAGGTGGCAGTAACAGGGGTCTCACATCTACCTGACAGGTGGCAGTAACATAGGGTCTCACATCTACCTGAGAGGTGGAAGTAACATGGGGTCTCACATCTACCTGAGAGGTGGAAGTAACATGGGGTCTCACATCTACCTGAGAGGTGGAAGTAACATGGGGTCTCACATCTACCTGAGAGGTGGAAGTAACATGGGGTCTCACATCTACCTGAGAGGTGGAAGTAACATGGGGTCTCACATCTACCTGAGAGGTGGAAGTAACATGGGGTCTCACATCTACCTGAGAGGTGGAAGTAACATGGGGTCTCACATCTACCTGAGAGGTGGAAGTAACATGGGGTCTCACATCTACCTGAGAGGTGGAAGTAACATGGGGTCTCACATCTACCTGAGAGGTGGAAGTAACATGGGGTCTCACATCTACCTGAGAGGTGGAAGTAACATGGGGTCTCACATCTACCTGAGAGGTGGAAGTAACATGGGGTCTCACATCTACCTGAGAGGTGGAAGTAACATGGGGGTCTCACATCTACCTGAGAGGTGGAAGTAACATGGGGTCTCACATCTACCTGAGAGGTGGAAGTAACATGGGGTCTCACATCTACCTGAGAGGTGGAAGTAACATGGGGTCTCACATCTACCTGTGAGGTGGAAGTAACATGGGGTCTCACATCTACCTGAGAGGTGGAAGTAACATGGGGTCTCACATCTACCTGAGAGGTGGAAGTAACATGGGGTCTCACATCTACCTGAGAGGTGGAAGTAACATGGGGTCTCACATCTACCTGAGAGGTGGAAGTAACATGGGGTCTCACATCTACCTGAGAGGTGGAAGTAACATGGGGTCTCACATCTACCTGAGAGGTGGAAGTAACATGGGGTCTCACATCTACCTGAGAGGTGGAAGTAACATGGGGTCTCACATCTACCTGAGAGGTGGAAGTAACATGGGGTCTCACATCTACCTGAGAGGTGGAAGTAACATGGGGGTCTCACATCTACCTGAGAGGTGGAAGTAACATGGGGTCTCACATCTACCTGAGAGGTGGAAGTAACATGGGGTCTCACATCTACCTGAGAGGTGGAAGTAACATGGGGTCTCACATCTACCTGTGAGGTGGAAGTAACATGGGGTCTCACATCTACCTGAGAGGTGGAAGTAACATGGGGTCTCACATCTACCTGAGAGGTGGAAGTAACATGGGGTCTCACATCTACCTGAGAGGTGGAAGTAACAATCTGCATACAAATAATTCAAATCTGTGAAATGAATGTGCATGCAACACTTAAGTTCTTTTACAAGACAAAAGTCCAGAAATGGATGAAAAGCCAGAACTTTCTGTCTGAGTTTGCGACTGGTAAACACGATGAAGAAGAGGAAGAGATTGATGGTAATCCAAATTAGTGAGAAATGATGTAGATACTACAATTGTGGTTGTATAGAACGAACAAATGAATAAACTTTATTTTCAAAGGGTCACAGAGTAGGTGGATAACAAGCACAGGGAAATCTCACATTGTCTTTCTGAAAAACATGAGGCAAACCCAGCCTGTGTCAATGAATGAACAATGACATTTGCTCACTCCCCAGGTGCCTGTAGACGGCATAGAGATGTTGCTTCCTGACGGAAGGATCCATATGTCATTCGCAGACAAGACCTTGCTGGTGTCATCAACGGCTGTTGCAGGTGTCGGAATTCTGGCCAAGTTGGTGGCCTACCTGGCCGGTGTATATGTAAGTGGCAAGTGTTGGGACGTCTATGGCCGCAGTTGATGGAATGTTGATGTGGTGGCCTACCTGGTCGGTGTATATGTAAGTGGCAAGTGTTTGGACGTCTATGGCCGCAGTTGATGGAATGTTGATGTGGTGGTCTACCTGGCCGGTGTATATGTAAGTGGCAAGTGTTTGGATGTCTGCGGCCACAGTTGATGGTATGTTCATGTGGTGGTCTACCTGGCCGGTGTATATGTAAGTGGCAAGTGTTTGGACGTCTGCGGCCGCAGTTGATGGTATGTTGATGTGGTGACCTACCTGGCCGGTGTATATGTAAGTGGCAAGTGTTTGGACGTCTGCGGCCGCAGTTGATGGTATGTTGATGTGGTGGCCTACCTGGCCGGTGTATATGTAAGTGGCAAGTGTTTGGACGTCTGCGGCGGCAGTTGATGGAATGTTGATGTGGTGGCCTACCTGGTCGGTGTATATGTAAGTGGCAAGTGTTTGGACATATGCGGCCGCAGTTGATGGTATGTTCATGTGGCGGTCTACCTGGCCGGTATATATGTAAGTGGCAAGTGTTTGGACGTCTGCGGCCGCAGTTGATGGAATGTTGATGATGTTCCAAGGCTCTTGTGATCTTGGAAGTGAAGTATAGACCTCAGCCTGTCTGAAATCATGTTTAACAAGATTCACATTTAGACATCAGCCTGTCTGAAATCATGTTTAACAAGATTCACATTTAGACCTCACATGCATCAGAAATGAGAGAAAATAGACTTTTATCATTTTTCTCCTTTTTTACATTTTTCATCTTCTTTTCCACTTTTTTTAGGTTCCTGGTCTGGAGTGAACCTGAGCAATCATGAACTGATCTTTTAATGAAGTTGATGTTTCTAGTGTTTTGATTTCTTGTCCTGTAGTTTCAACTTTCCACACACAAATTTCTGTGTCCTTCTCTCTCTTTCTCTAATTTTCTCTGCCTATCTCATATTTAAAAACCATTCACTTTCAATAAGCTGTTTATATCGCTACCACAAGAGAGTTATTTTGTTATGTTGAAAACTTAAACATTTCATCTTTTTCTGTTCACTATTTAATCAGAAATCTTTGATCAAACATTAATTATGTTATCAAATGATGTCTGTTGTTACAATTTTTCGGTTTTCATACAATTCCAATTTTTAAATTCATTATTGTTTTAGTAATTTTTTGTGTCTCTGATTTTGTTTTCTAATGAAGATTTTGAAATTGCATTGTCCATTCTCTCAGTTGATTGTCCATTATCTCAGTTGATTGTCCATTTTCTCTGGTATGAATGCCCATTCTCTCAGGTATGATTGTCCATTCTCTCAGGTATGAATGCCCATTCTCTCAGGTATGAATGCCCATTCTCTCAGGTATGATTGCCCATTCTCTCAGTTGATTGCCCATTCTCTCAGGTATGAATGCCCATTCTCTCAGTTGATTGCCCATTCTCTCAGTTGATTGTCCATTCTCTCAGGTATGAATGCCCATTCTCTCAGGTATGAATGCCCATTCTCTCAGTTGATTGTCCATTCTCTCAGGTATGAATGCCCATTCTCTCACTTCGGATTCTACTCCTGTACTTGACTCTTTTCATTTTCCATATTTGGTCATTTATTCATTGTATTTTCAAGCCATTTTACTGTTGGGACATTTACTTTTTTTTTCTGTGTCTTTCAGTTTAATATTTTTATGCCACTGACTACCACGCCTGTTAACCCTTACTGTTTCCCAGATACTACATCTTTGCTGCAGTAATAGTGCACACATCCACCAGCTGCAGTAATAGTCCACACACCCACCAGTTGCAGTAACAGTCCACACACCCACCAGTTGCAGTAACTGTCCACACACCCACCAGTTGCAGTAACTGTCCACACACCCACCAGCTGCAGTAACTGTCCACACACCCACCAGTTGCTGTAACTGTCAACACACCCACCAGCTGCAGTAATAGTCCACACACCCACCAGCTGCAGTAATAGTCCACACACCCACCAGCTGCAGTAACTGTCCACACACCCACCAGTTGCTGTAACTGTCCACACACCCACCAGCTGCAGTAATAGTCCACACACCCACCAGCTGCAGTAATAGTCCACACACCCACCAGCTGCAGTAATAGTCCACACACCCACCAGTTGCTGTAACTGTCCACACACCCACCAGTTGCTGTAACAGTCCACACACCCACCAGCTGCAGTAACTGTCCACACACCCACCAGCTGCAGTAACTGTCCACACACCCACCAGTTGCTGTAACTGTCCACACACCCACCAGCTGCAGTAATAGTCCACACACCCACCAGCTGCAGTAACAGTTCACACACCCACCAGTTGCTGTAACTGTCCACACACCCACCAGCTGCAGTAACAGTCCACACACCCACCAGTTGCAGTAATAGTCCACACACCCACCAGTTGCAGTAATAGTCCATACACCCACCTGTTGCAGTAACAGTCCACACACCCACCAATTGCAGTAATAGTCCACACACCCACCAGTTGCAGTAACGGTCCACACACCCACCAGCTGCAGTAACGGTCCACACACCCACCAGCTGCAGTAACAGTTCACACACCCACCAGTTGCTGTAACTGTCCACACACCCACCAGCTGCAGTAATAGTCCACACACCCACCAGTTGCAGTAATAGTCCACACGCCCACCAGTTGCTGTAATAGTCCACACACCCACCAGTTGCAGTAATAGTCCACACGCCCACCAGTTGCTGTAATAGTCCACACACCCACCAGTTGCAGTAATAGTCCACACACCCACCAGCTGCAGTAACAGTCCACACACCCACCAGCTGCAGTAACTGTCCACACACCCACCAGCTGCAGTAACAGTTCACACACCCACCAGCTGCAGTAACTGTCCACACACCCACCAGCTGCAGTAACAGTCCACACACCCACCAGCTGCAGTAACGGTCCACACACCCACCAGCTGCAGTAACAGTTCACACACCCACCAGCTGCAGTAATAGTCCACACACCCACCAGCTGCAGTAATAGTCCACACACCCACCAGTTGCAGTAATAGTCCACACGCCCACCAGTTGCTGTAATAGTCCACACACCCACCAGTTGCAGTAATAGTCCACACACCCACCAGCTGCAGTAACAGTCCACACACCCACCAGCTGCAGTAACTGTCCACACACCCACCAGCTGCAGTAACGGTTCACACACCCACCAGCTGCAGTAACTGTCCACACACCCACCAGCTGCAGTAACAGTCCACACACCCACCAGCTGCAGTAACGGTCCACACACCCACCAGCTGCAGTAACAGTTCACACACCCACCAGCTGCAGTAATAGTCCACACACCCACCAGCTGCAGTAATAGTCCACACACCCACCAGCTGCAGTAATAGTCCACACACCCACCAGTTGCAGTAATAGTCCACACACCCACCAGTTGCAGTAATAGTCCACACACCCACCAGTTGCTGTAATAGTCCACACACCCACCAGTTGCAGTAATAGTCCACACGCCCACCAGTTGCTGTAATAGTCCACACACCCACCAGTTGCAGTAATAGTCCACACACCCACCAGCTGCAGTAACAGTCCACACACCCACCAGCTGCAGTAACTGTCCACACACCCACCAGTTGCAGTAATAGTCCACACACCCACCAGCTGCAGTAATAGTCCACACACCCACCAGCTGCAGTAACTGTCCACACACCCACCATTTGCAGTAACAGTCCACACACCCACCAGCTGCAGTAACGGTTCATTGTTGTGTTACAACTGGTACATTTCTGAAACAACATGAGTGGGGCAGGGAAATGAAAGAGTGGATTCTTGGTAACAGGGATAGGACAACTCATTTTAGACAGTGCCATTTTTGGATGAATGATGATGAAAGATGCGATTAGATGAAACAACATGTATTATGTTGCATGAATTTGAAATAAAGTGTGGATCAGACAAGATGGGACGTATACGAGGACGTATGTGTACCAAAAACAAACAAAAAGATGGGGAGGATATGCTAAAGCAAAGGATAGAATGACCAGGCATGAGTTGGTTGAGGGCCTAAGCTCTAATGGGGGCTAGATGTGAAAAAGAAGTACAACATAAATGTGCAACAAGGGTGCTACTGGAACGGTCAGCATAGACGCCTTAAGACCTTTGCTGTGGGAGACAAAACATCTGTAGGTTTGCCTGGTATGCTGTGGTGTGGTTTGCCTGGTGTGCTGTGATGTGATTTGCCTGGTATGCTGTGATGTGGTTTGCCTTGTGTGCTGTGATGTGGTTTGCCTGGTGTGCTGTGATGTGGTTTGCCTGGTGTGCTGTGATGTGGTTTGCCTTGTATGCTGTGATGTGATTTGCCTAGTATGCTGTGATGTGGTTTGCCTGGTGTGCTGTGATGTGGTTTGCCTGGTATGCTGTGATGTGGTTTGCCTGGTATGCTGTGATGTGGATTTTTAAATCAGTAAACACTTCTAAATGGACAGGTAGACTGGACACTGGCTGTGTCACTGGTCAGTGGTGGCCTAGGACTGCATGTGTGGACCAGGTACACAGACAGAAGACATGCCTACCTCAGCGATGTGTCCCGGACACTCTATTTTAAGGTGATATTTTCTTTATGCTGTTGCCTTTTTAAAATACCCATATGGGTTTCAGGGCCCCAACAAGCAAGTCATCAGAAGTGATTAATTAGGGCTTTTTACTTCAGAGTGTATCTGCCTATGAGGCGAAGAACCAACAGTCTGCGTACAAACAAACCAGATCTGTAGAATGAATGTGCACTCAAAAACTCAAACTCAGGAGCAAGACTTGAAGTCCAGAAGTAGACGAGCAACCAGAACTTTCAACTGAAATTGACAACCATAAACATGAAAAAGAAGAAGCATTTTTAAAAAGTGCATTTGTGTGTGTATGTAGTGCATCATCGATATGTGAAACAGACTTATGTGTACATTGTCTTGCATCTGTCTAACTTGTCCTGCATCCGTCTAACTTGTCTTG